GGAAAAAATATATCACTTTCACAATTTAATTGGCACTTTCTACTTATAATAAAATGAATTTTTCCTTTGTGTTAAAATTCATGAGAGATGGGCTGGGGATTTAGCTCAGCAGCACAGCACCTACCCGGCAAGCGCAAGGTCGTGAGTTAAATTCCCAGTACCAGAAAACAAACAAACAAACAAATAAGCAAAAAACTCTTGAGAGATAAATTTTTTTCTGACTTTGAAACAAATTTGAATTTATAGAAAAATTAGAAACATATCAAAAATTTTTTTTCATTCTGCACTCATTAACAGTACGTTGACAGCAGGCTGATCTGTTGTACTTAGCACCTGATAGTGTGTGACCTACAAACAAGAGCATTTTTTTTTTTTTTTTTTTGCATAACTGCAAGGTAACCATCAAAATCAGGAAACTAAATTGTTTTCTTCCAGGCTTTGAGTCTCAGACCCCATTCACGTTTTGCCAATTATCTCAATAATGTTTTGCACAGAACATGACCATGACAGTGCTCATTACAGGTCAATTATTTTGCATAATATTTTTTGACGTAGATTTGTCTGGTGTTTTCACATGATTAGGTTTTCACTTTGTGCATCTTTGATGGTAATACCGGGGGAGGGATGCTGTGCTCTTCGGACTACATTCTCTCAAGTGATGCATGAGTTTTATTCATCTCATTTCTGATGGTGTTCACTTTAATCCCTTATTTGAGATAGTGTCTGCCAGCCTCCTTTACTATTAGTTATTGCTTTCCCCTTTGCAACTAATGTGTATTTTGTTGAGAGACACTTTCAAACTGTGAAAATATCCTGTTCTATAACAAACCCTCCATTTATTAATTTAGGTATTTGTATTGCTGTGGACTCTTTCATGGTTTCCCATTCAATTCAATAGCTTTCTGCGTTTTTTTATTCAGTAGTTTATAACTCATTGCTACCACTATTTATGTTGATGATTATTTTAGATTTGATCAGTAGGAGCCCCTTGGAGCTGGTTTCTGTGTCCTTTTGACATTCCTTTATTTGTCTTTGAGCACTTTCTTACTTTCTGGCACAAAAAGTATTTCAAACTTATCTCATAAATTAATGGCTGTAAAATCAGCCACTTCTCAAAGGAATTGTAGTTCTCTTTAATGGACATAGGAAGTTAGAAGTAAAGATCTAAGTGCTGGGTATTTGCTATTATTAGGATACTACACTTCTATGTCATGAGCTAAGCTAGAGGATTCACACACATTTGTACACATTTGCATCTGTCCATCTGTCTATCCATGTCTCTACCTAGAAAACCATGTACTTACAAGTGCTTCCACTGTTACCTCAGTTCCATCCTGATGACTCCAGGACTCAATCTAGGTTTTTTCTCTTTCTATATTTTCAGCCACCTTCTCTGAGAGTAAGAAAACTGGCTACAATTATTTTAAATTTATTTATCGATTTTTCTCAGTGTCCTTGTACATGATCAGTCTGCTGGTCCCTGCTGGATGAAGTTATCTACCTCAATGTGCTTCTATTCTAACACTCTGCTTCAGACATCTCTGACCTCACTTCCACCCCCACCACCTGCCCATGTGGGTGCTGTCCTCCAATGTTTCTGGGTCTCAGTACTCTGTAACATGTCACTGGGTGATATCCACTCAGACTTGGGACTCCAGGAGCAAGCCATTGCTGCAGTGTCTCCACCACTGCCCTCAACTGTGGACACCATTATCACATTGCCCAGGGTCCACCAGAGCATGGCAGTCATGTCTAGCCTCCAAATTATGCAGACGTTCTCCTTGCCTGATATCACAAATTGGGCCTGTATGAACATCCTTCTGACTAAGCTCAGGCTTCACTATCCTAGCCAGGACCATCAATCCCCATAAGAATGCTCTGGTCACACTGCTCAGGCTATAAGCACCCCCAGCAAGCTTCCCACTTGCATAGGTCCCTCTCAACCCATTCATGTTCCAACACCAGTTATGAGTAGCTGTACACATGGACTCCTCCTCTTCACCCTAGATCTCACCATTCTTCTGTCTTCTTCTCAATCATTTGAATCTTTGTTTCATCTCACCTGAGTGTTCAGACTGAATTGCTCAGAAAGGAAAGTAAAGGAGAAGGAAACCACAGTGAAGAAAAAGATTAAGAGGCAAATTAGAAATGTTCTGAGCCTGGGTAAAATTATATAGAAAATGGCCATTTAAAAAGTCACATTATATGAAGCTGGGCATGATGCCACATACCAACTTCCAGCACTCAGGAGGCTGAAGCAGAAGAATTGATACCAGCCTGGTTATACATAGAAGGTTCAAGCCTAGCCTGGACTGCAGAACAAGACCCTGTGTCAAAAAAAAAAAATCACATTGTAAAACCACCAAATTGAGTTTACAATAATTTCTAAGCCAACAATATAAAATAAAACTTACAAAACTTAAAGTTAAATCTGAGTATGCTGATTTACTGAGCAAAACATCTACAATTTAAAAAATTATGGAGAAATAATACTGCTTTCAACTAAACTTTAAAGAGATTTTATAGTTTTTGAAATGGCATTTACAAAAGTTTTCAAAACAGTGAATATGAAACATTGACCATTTTTATTTTCCAAGTAATGTGTTATGATTTTTAAAAAAATAGGAGCACTTTTGGAATGCTTGCAAATTTCCAGAGGACATCTTAGAGGAAAATAAATGTCAGCTTCATATAAAAAAACTAAGTAGTTTGGGCACTGTTATGCAGAAAAACACCAACACTTATTACTTTTATTAGTGATGAAATGAAATTTCACTTTTAGAATTAAAGTTTTCCTTCTCCTCTCCATCAGGGTAAACTCCACTGTCTTCTTTCTGTGTGCTCTGTATATGTACCAAGCCATTTGTCATGACAGAAAAAGAGTCTTTTCTAAATATATAAACAGTTCCAGGCACAAACATAGCAAGGAATATTTAAGAAAAGACCCTCACTCTGTATTCCAGAGTTTCCTCTTATTCCCTGAAATAATTAAAATTTGGGAAATGACTAAGGTGTAGAAACAAAGGCGGGAGAAGAAAATCATAACTTGAAAGTTGTGCATAGGTCAGCACAGAGAAGTTATACTAGTACTGTAGTTATTACTTGGAAAATTCTTACATGGTAATTAAATTTTCCTGGTATTTTAGGTTCTAAAATTGGAAAACAAAATTACTATACAAATAATGTTACCATAAATCTAAAAAGATTCTAATTTTAGATCTATATGAGTAATATAAAGTGGAGAACTTAAGTTATTTGAATATATATCCACTTGGTTCTTTGTTATATATGGAGAATATCTTTTTTTTTTTTTTTTTTTTTTTTTTGGTTTTTCTCCAGTACTGGGAATCGAACTCACGACCTTCACTTGCCAGGCAGGCACTGTGCCGCTGAGCTAAATCCCCAGCCCTTATGGAGAATATCCTTAGGCTCTTGAATAGTTCCCTTAATCCTTTTCTTCATTTTGTGAGCATTAGGAGCAACTCTGTTCCTACAGCTTAATAAAATCAGGGTCTTCAAAATATGCAGGCACCTCAGGACTGCTGGGCAAAACTCTCAGTGGTGTAAAGTGGGCAGTCTTTCCTCTAGACACCTGCCTTACTTGCTTTCTCATTCCTGAGACAAAATACCTGACACTCACAACTTATAGAAGCAGAGATGTATTTTGGCTCCTGGATTTTAGAGGATTTAGCCCATAGTCAGCTAGCTCCAAGGCAAGAAGGGCACGGTGGAAGAGTCAGATGGAAAACAGCTGCTCACATTATGACAGCCAGGAAGCAGAGCGCAAGGGGAGGAGCTGGGGAGAGAGAGAGAGAGATGCTTGTTGTAGTCAGAGTTCCCAAGGGAACGGATTTAAAACAGGACAAATAATTTATAAGATTATTTTATAACATTCACCCAGAAAGTCAAATACAGAGGAGTGCGGAGATCTTTAACACACTGCAAGGAATTCAGCTGAGGGCCAGATCCCACAGCAATGTCCTCCATAATTCCAGCTGAAGATCTAGGGCCCATGGCAATGTCCTCGAGTCCAACTGGAGGCTTACAGCGTTCTCCAGCAGTAGCATGGCATATTCCCTTCCAGATCTCCTTTTATGTTGTTGGCAGCAATCCTCAGGGGGACCTTCCATGCCCAGAACCACACTGACTCAGTTCAGCTGGGTGTTACAAGTTGACCGTTAGCTAATCCACCACAATGCTCTTCCAGGTCATGTCCTCAGTGACCTGCTTCTTTCAAAAAACTCTACCTCCTAACAACACATTCAGCAATGGAGTCATCAGTGGATTAATCCACTGGTCAATACGGTTCCCCAATGATCCAGTCACTTTCCAAACCTACCTCTGAACATATGAGACTTTTAAAGGATATCATAAACTGAAACTATAACACCTATAAACTCATATTCTTAGCACACTGGCATAATCTGCCTTATGCTGTTAGTCCAGTAGTGGGAAGTTTTAATACTGTGTCAGAGAGAGGGATGATAATTTTGGGTAGAAGGTTATCTTAGAACAACCTAGAAGAGAGTCTGATATGGGGATCCTTGTGCAAGGGATTCATTAAAGTAATGCTCTCAGGAGACATCTATGAGGAAGTGAAGGGAGAAGGATAAAGAACGTTGAGAAGCTAAGTGAAGGTATGATATCAGGTTCAATCACCTTGAAAGGAGCTCTCCATAGTAAATTGCATTCCACAGTGTGTCCTACCCGGGGCTAGGGAGTAAGGCTTTGAATCCCTGTACTATTCATCCGTTGCTTTGGAGTAGTCACCTTTGTGGGGATGTAGTTCAAAGACACCTCTCAGGAGGTTGTTCCCATAATCTGAGGGCAAATTTTGGAGGTTTCAAAGATGACCCACTACCAGCAGCATCACAGCGACTGGTAAAAAGGGTAGAGGGCATCTGAATAGCCATTAGCAGAATCTGCTGCAGTCCATCCTTTGTGCTGCTAAGTTCCACTTTCTTCTCACTCCAGCTTATCATAGCTTCTTAATATTCACAGACTTCTGGGAAAATTTGCAAGAAGAAGGAGGCTTTTGCAATGTGTTACAATTCCCACTGCATCATTTGGTTCTGGGGTTATAACAGGTAATACTTTATCACTTATTCTTTTATCCAGAGTTTGCTGGCCTGGGTGGCTTGCCTGACATGATATAACAGTATAACTTGGAGGTAAAAGATTGTCTTAGGACAACCTAAAACTGAGCTCAGGATGAAGGTCCATGTGTAAGAGAAACCTACAGGTAATGCAAACCCTCTTTTCAGAGAGTCCTGAGCCTCTGTCACTATATCCTTATCACATCGTGGTCATGGTGGCTGGCCATGTAAAAGGAGGCCCAAGAGTAGCAGGAGATGGCCCAAGCAGCCACCAAAGTGTTTCTCATGTTCCTATGTGCCCACATCATCTAGTAACCATCCTGCTTCCTCATAATTATGAGGACTAATGCCTACTGTCAGTGTGAGAACTCCTTTATTTTCCTACTGGTCTTCTAGTACAAGAAGTGTCTAGGTGGTAGCTGAGGCTTTAAATTTGGTGTAACCCTCACTTCTTTCCCATGGTAGATGTATTTGCCCTGCAGGAACCAGAGAGTAAAATTGCTCAAGTTGATCCAGCAGAGTGGTAGTGATGGGCATTCCTACTTCTACCCTTTAGGCAGTAGACTTGTATAGTCCAGCTCTGGGGACACAGGACCAACAAAATAGCCATTGGTTAAAATTCTATGCTGTATCCTAAAGAATTTTGTGCTCTTTTCCAGAATGTCATCTTCAAGCTGGTGTTCCAGCTTGTCTCCAAGAGGCCATGTTACTCTGTTGTCATACCAGGAACTTCTAGATGGTGTGGTGTGTGATGTGGCCAGTAGGTTCCATGTCCATGTGCCTACTGTTGTACTCTTTTGCCATAAAGTGGGTCTCTTGATTCAAGGTAATGTTTTACAAGACACTAATTTTAAAAAATCACACAGTGGGGTTTAGCTGAGACTTGTGGACAGTAAACATAAACCCATCTCTGGAAGACCCATCAGTCCTGAGCAGGATAAAGAATTATTCCTCCTAGGATGAAGAGTTCTACCTGATAATGTATTGCTGTTTGTCTTGCCTTGGGAAAGAGTCTCAGGCACTTCCAAGCAGAATGACTTCAATCACACAATGGTAATCCTCCTGGAAATGTTGCAGTAGCAACTGCAGGCTCCAGTAAAAGGGATTTCTGAGAATCTGGGTTATGAGTCCTTCATTTTAACTCATGAGGAACAGGGGTGTTATTCATAGATGGCTGCAGAGGCTGTCCTGGTAAAGCAATTGAATAAAGCATGCCAAGAGGAAGCTATGGCCAGTTTTGGAGCTAACGCCCAGTCTAAAAGGGAAGTGCCAATGCATTATTGCCAGATCTTCAATTTCTCCTGAGAATCTGAAAATCTAGATTTATTTTCATACAAATCTACCAGCTTTTAACATGTTGAAAATCATAGCATCAGTTTTTCTAATGGAGAATAGATGAAATGGTCAATTTAAGGTTATAGAGGAGGGAGGATGGTGGGAAGTGGACCTGCAGGAGCAAATGGAAGATACCCAGCACAATGTTCAATTAGTTTTTTTTAACCACCCTGGGAAAAGACCATGCATGCCTCACATTAGTTTGCTTTGGCTGCCATAAAAATTCCAAAGAATGGGCTACGTAAATAACACAAATTAATGTCCACAGCTCTGGAAGTTGGAACGCCAAGATAAGGGCACCAACAGGGTTGAGTTCTTGTGAGGACTCTTTTTTTTTGTTGGTTTTTTTTGTTTTTGTTTTTGTTTTTTTTTGGTGTTTCTCTGGTACCGGGAACTGAACTCACGACCTTGCACTTGCCAGGCAGGTGCTTTTTGCCGCTGAGCTAAACCCCCAGCCCCAGGACTCTTTTCCTAACCTGAGGACAGCTGTCCTGTTGCTGCATCTCCATTTGGCCTTTGTTCCAAGGTTGTATACATGAAGAATGGGCTCTCTGGTATTTTTTCTTATCAAGACACTAATTCTATCAGATCAGAACCCTACCCAAATGATCTAATCTAAACTTAATTACTTCTTTTGAGTCTCCATCTCCAAATATAGCTTTTGTGAGGATAAACCCTTCAACATACAAATTCTGGAGGGACAAAAGTATTCCATCTATAACAGATATCACATTTTAAAGATCTTTGATAAAACCAAATAGGACCAATGAAACACATCCTCCAGCTAGTTTTGGAACACTAGTGTTTGACCTTAACACTAATAGCAAATAATTACCTACATGTAAATGTGGCCCGTATAAGTGGGTTACACTTTTGTATCCCTAGCTGTGAGTAGTTAGGCAGTATTTGGATCACAATATTTGATTTACTGTTCAACTGATTACCCTAAGTTTCCACCTGTAAAAAGAAGTAATAAGAAATCTGGGAAAATTGTGGAACTGGAAAATATGTTGCCAAGCTTTTCATCTGAGATGAATTGTCTGGTTTAAAAAGTATTGACCTGGTAATTTCCTTCTTGTTGTTGACTTCAGACTGAACTCTGCATTCCAAAGCAGTATGCAGAGGAATGGAGAATGAAAAACAATATCGTACTGAAAATAGAATTCAGGCCTGCGGTCACTGTCAATGTCATAGTAAATTAAGACGTCACAGATGATATACATATTTTAATACAGCTTTCAGTCAGAAACTAAGAAGGAGTTCAAGGAGCTTAAGATTTTGTTCCTCCGGTAACCAAACATATTTGCTGTATAGCTAAATTAATATCAAAGTGAGGTTCACAAAAATCATAGGCCCTATCTTAGACATAATGCATCAGAAACTCTTGGGAAGGAACCCAATCAGGCACTCCAAGAAATTCTGGTCACATTACAGTTTGAGAACCTATGTGGGATACTAACAAGTTGATGAAAAGGGATGCACTCAGAAGACAAGGAAGAAGGAACTGACATTTTACTTAGTTTCTGTAGTGTCCTGGGTACTTTCTTATGAAACCTCTTAACTGCATCAGGATATGAGCCAAAGTCTATGCAAGTCCAAAGACCATATGCTGTTTAGTTAAATTTCTTCCTGAAAATATGTATGTAGTATCTCTAGTGGGTCAAATGCTTCATATGATTAATGTTAATTAATTTTTACAAGGGTGCTGAGATGCAAGCTGTATTATTCCTATTTTCCAGAGAAGAAAAGCAGGCTTAGAAAAGTTGGTCACTTTCTCCTGTGGCATAAACTTTTAGTGGCATGCTGGATTTATACTTAATTTATTTTTTTTTTTTGTTGTTTTTTTTTTTTTGGTTTTTCTCTGGTACCGGGAACCGAACTCACGACCTTGCGCTTGCCAGGCAGGCGCTTTTGCCACTGAGCTAAATCCCCAGCCCCTATACTTAATTTATAATGCCACAAAGCCCACATTCTCTCCTTGCTTCCCTGCACCGAGCTGTTTTCTTTTTCTTTTTTCTTTTAAAGAGAAAAAATAAAACCAAATTTCAAAACAAGATAATAGGAAGGTAACAATGGTTAATACACTGCATAATGTTATCTTTAAACTGATTACTCAGAGTACAAGATATTGACATTTAATTGTCCAAACAATATTAGCATAAACTTTTCTTTTCAATGGACTAAGAGAAATTAGGATTATAACTATCTTAGCTATTATATATATATATATATATATATATATACACACTATTTTTTACTATTCCCTTCCTGTTTTTTCTCCAAGTCCTCCACCCCAATTTTTCTTTCCTTTTGAAGTTTCTTCCCATTTTATAATATCTACTGTACATTTAGGAACTTATTTACTCTTTTAGCTTCTCACACTAGGGAGACAATACAATGTTTACACATGTGCATCTGGTTTGTTTCACTTATGAGAATGATCTTGAGTTTCCAGCTTACCTAGAAAAGCCTCCAGTTTATTCTTCTTCACGGCTGAGTAGTACTCTGTTGCATAAAAAGACCACATCTTTTTTATTCATTTCTTGGTTGATGGGCATTTGGGTTAATTCCAAGATCTAGCTATTACAAATTATGCTGCTATAAACATGGGTACACATATATAACTGTGGTATGATGTTTTTAATTCTTCTGGGAAGATACCCAGAAGGGGAATGGCTGGATCAAATGGGACCTCCTGTCCTAGGTTTTTGAGGAATCTCTACACTGATCTCTACGGTGGTTGAACCAGTCTGCACTCTCACCAATAGTAGAGAAGTGTTCCTTTTTCCCCACCAACCTGCCAGCATTTGTTATTGGTTGATTTCTTGATAACCATTCTGGATTGAGATGAAATCTCAGTGTTGTTTTCATTTGTGTCTCTTGAATGACCAGTGATGAACTTTTTTTCATGTATGCATTTGCTGTATTTATTTGTTGTTCACATTTCTTCATCTGAGCAGTTTCTCATCATCTCAGATGCCCATTTTTGGATTGGGTGTTTAAATTTCGGAAGTCAAATTTTTTTGAGTTCTTTATACATTCTCAGTAGTAATTCTTTATCTGAGGAACATCCAGCAAACATCTTTTTTCCACATTGTGGGTTGTCTCTTCACTCTATCAGTGGTTTCTTTTGCTGTGCAAATGCTTCTAGTAAGTTGTGATTGGGGGCTGGGGATTTAGCTCAGTGGCACAGTGCCTGCCTGGCAAGCTCAAGGTTGTGAGTTCGATTTCTGCTACCAGAGAAAAACAAAACAAAAAAAAACAAAAATAAAAACAAAAGTAATCTGAGCTGTTTATTCTTTGTAATATTTTCTGTGCAAATAGTTTTATTAAAAAGTCTTTGCTTACATCAATGTCTTCAAGAGTTTTACCTATTCTATCTTCCAGCAGATTTAATGTTTCTGTTTTAATATTTATATCTTTGATCCATTTTGAAGTTAGTTTAGTGCATAGTGAAAGATAAGTGTCCACTTTTAATCTTCAGCATGTACAGAGCCAGTTTTCCAGTACCACTTATTAAAGAGGCTATCTTTCTTCCAGTGAAAGTGTTTGGCACCTTGTTCAGGATAAGTTGTGTGAGTATGTCTGGAGTTGTTTCTGCATCTTTTAATCTATCCCATTGATATTTGGATCTCTTTTTTGCCAGTACCACACTATTTTTAATCACTGTAGCCTTATAGTATAATTTCAAGTTAGGGACTGTGACTCCCTGCCTTGCCTTTGATGCCAGAATTGCCTTTGCTATCCTAGGTCTTTTCTGGTTCCAAATGAATTTTAGAATTGTTTCCTCTAATTCTGTGAGATATACTATTAGAACTTGGTTGGGATTGCATTAAATCTGTATAGCTGTTTTGAAAGTATGACCATTTTCACTATATTCATTCTTCCTACCCAAGAGGAAGTGATATCTTTCCATTTTCTGATATCTATTTTGATCTCCTCTTTAAGATTACTTTAGTATAGAAGTACTTTAATATAGAAATCTTTTTACATCTCTCATTAGAATGATTTCTAGGTATTTCATTTTTTGGATGCTATTGTGAAAGGTGTTGTATCCCTAATTTCTTTCTCAGTGAGTTTGTTGTTTATGTAGGAAAGCTATTGATTTTTGAGTGTTGACTCTGCATCCACCTTATGCTACTGAATTTGCTCATGGAAACTAGCAGTTTTTGAATATGGGGTCTTCTATGTAGAGTATCATGTCATCTACAAATAATGATCGTGTAACTTCTTCCTTTCCTATCCTTATTCATTTTATTTCTCTCTCTTGTCTAGTTGCTCTGGCTAAAGTTTCCAGGACTATGTTGAATAAGAGTGGAGACAGTGGACATCCTTATCTTGTTCCTGACTTTAGAGAGAAAGCTTTCAGTTGTCCATTTAGTATGATGTTGGCTCTTGGTTTGTCATAGATGGATTTTTTCAGATTGAGATAAAGACCATCTATTCCAATTTTCTGTAGGGTTTTTATCATGAATGGGTGCTGGACTTTGT